TGTATGGTTCTATAACTAGTGGATGTAATGGGTTTGAGATACCCTTTGTATCTCCTTAATAAATTAAATTTTGCTAATTAAAAAAAAAAAAAAAGAAAGAAAAAGGATGCATATAATTGTTGTGGAAAGTGGAAACTGCTGAGTTGAATCAATTAATAGCATGCGGGACCCATTTATGACACAACTCGGAGTCATGGACTAGTTGCTTTTGCTTACTTGTGTATATAAAGGTTTAAGGTATGTTGCTGGTAATGCAAGGAGACAGTAGCAGTACTTAATTGGTGGTTGATCTGAGAATATTTTGATGGAGTCGAAATGGTTAATTTATGTGTTATTTACACTCTTCTTATTAGAAGGGCTGTGGTGCCAAGGGTGCTGGGACCAAGAGAGAACAGCTCTCCTCCAACTCAAGCCTTTCTTCACTGCGCACCTAAAAAACAGGGAGAGAGGACAGCAAAATTTAGATTGTTGTCAATGGGTGGGGATTGAGTGCAACTCTACTTCTGGACGAGTCATAACACTCAATCTCAATTACTCATGGTTCGAAGAAGAATATGATGGCCACATGTATGCATCAAATGGCCTTATGAGAACGGAGAATGTCATGCTTCTAAATGCGTCTTTGTTTCTTCCATTTGTGGAATTGAAGAGTCTCCATTTGGCTGGAAATGGAATAGCTGGTTGCATGGAAAATGAAGGTTTTCATCTGTCTTTCAACTTAATTTCATCTTTTACTTAAAAAAAAAAAAAATCATTTGCTTATCGTTTCATCTTTATTATTTTTTGTAGTAGTTTCAAATTTTTATATTCGTGGCTCCCAAAACTGAATTAGTAATTAGCTTGGATGTTGCAAGAAACTGTTTTGCAAGTTTTGAGAGGCTTTCTAAGTTGAGGAATTTGGAAATGCTTAATCTAAAAAGCAATCAATTGAACAATAGTGTCCTATCATCTTTTAGTGAGCTTTCATAACTCAATAACTATATTTAGCCAACAACGGATTCTAAGCATGTAACCATGCTTATAGTATAATTGTACATTTTTTACTTATAAAAACTTGTTCTCTTATTGTTTCATCTTAATATTTATGTGTGGCTCCAAAATTAAATTAATAATTTTACATATTGCAGGTTTGGAAAAGCTTTCTAAGTTGAGGAATTTGGAAGTTATTGATCTATATAGCAATCAATTGAACAATGGTATCTTACCATCTCTAAGTGAGCTTCCATCTCTCAAGTCCCTATATCTAGGCTACAACAATTTCCAAGCATCTAACCATGCTGACGGTATAATTCTCCATTTCTTACTTAT